GCAGGAAACCCTTCTCCCTCACCAGAAACTTTGTATATTTCAAATTAAATGTTGCACAGCTTCTTGAGAGTCAGAGAAAGGAGTCGTAAGTGAAGTTTATCACTGCAGAAATAGAGGGACACATACAGACATATGCAAGAGAAGTACAAAGTGTGGAGAACCTGGACTAGAATTAAAACTGTGTCCTATATCACAAGATCATCGTGGTTTTTTTTTTCCCCAGCTTTTAAACTGAAAGATAATGCATACTGAGTATTCAAAAAAAAGTTCTCTGGATGCAAGTAGCTAACAAATGCCCACCTGACTGATAGAACTGGAATGAAGAGTGGCCTGCATCAATAGCAACAGATACTGGACCCACAGCTGCTACTGCTTTCATGAGAGCTCTTTCATGTCCTTGAGGGATGTCAACAAAGCCAGTGTCATTAGCAGCATTGTACTCTGCCTTGTAGCGACAGTCTTCATCATCCTAAATAAAGAAAGCCCTAGTTATTACATAGTTTTCCACTTAACACACAGGCGAACACAGGAACTACCAGACATTCTGTGACTTTGCTGCCTTGAAAACAAGGGACTGAAGAGGATCCAATTGCTTCAGCAGTACTTTGAAAGGAGAAGGAGAATATAGAAGCTGCTTTTGAGTTTCTCAAAGGTACAGAAAAAGCAAAGGACAGTGGGGACCAAAAGGAAAACCTTACTGGGATGCAAAGGACCATCACATCCTGGAACCCTGCCTTCTTTGGTGGGCAGGACAAATCTCTTTTCAGGGAGGGAAAGAAGCCCAGAATGCATTAATGGGCAATGGAAGAGAGCCAAGTATTCATTAATTACAAAGCAATCCAGAAACTGCTCATTGAGCAAGCACTTAAAATCCACAATTTTAGTCTGTCATAGTTTGACAAACTGTACAGAATGATTTCGAAGTTAGTCATTTGTATTATATGACCTTACACACAGCATTTGTGTATTTTGTGCTGCTTCTTCACATTATCTTTTTTTACAATGAAGCCTGAACTGTTGGTGTCATAGGCATATATCTCAGGAGAGAGGCCTAGTTTGGAAGTCAGGCCACATGAAATTGAAACAGACTGAAGTAAGCACATCCCTCATTTACCTGTGTGGTAAGATTAGTACTTAAGTTACCCCCCCATACAACTTGAGGGACACAGAGTATATCTCAGCTGACTACTTTTGGACTTGGCAAGTTGGGCACTTCCTATAACCAACTGCCATCTCTGGAAGAGCCAAGACTAGGGAAACACTGAAGTTGCAGGGATGCAAGTGAACATGAACCCAAATCCGAAAGTTTCTGTGCTGCTCACTACAAATGGCATAGCGATTGCACATTCAGTCAACGCAAAATAAGCTGCAGGGAAAGATACTCTATAGTGAGCAGAACTCCCAAGTGGTGAAAAGCCCAAACTATGGACTCTCAAAGTGATACATTTACAGACATGAGAGGAGAACAAAGCAGTAGTAACTTTTCCTAGGCACATTATGTACATTTATGTACATTCATCCCAAAAGGACAACTTGAGGCATTGCCAACAGATATTGTTAAAAAAACCAAATCACACCAGCTGCAAGAACTAGCTGGTCTATGGCTAGAGACTCCGTAATAGCTCTGTTACAGGAAGCTGAATTGCACCCCTACAACTAAGTAGCACTGTTGACAAGGGCTGGATCCTGGTTTGGTGTGTCAACCAAGATAAGGCATGACATCCGATAGGAGGGCAGCAATGAGGGGGAGGAATAAAAATATTTGCTCTAGTTTTTCCAACTGGTCTGGTAAGATTTTGACCTCGAAGACCAGCACAGTATGTGATCCCTACTGGGGCTAGCAGTCATTCTAGTTTTCTTAGGAAAGATGCAACAGGAAGAACAGACATACTGATGACTACTTAAGACATCTTCCTTTCTAGGCATGTTTCCCAACACATAGTTTGCCCACACAAAAGATGTGACACCTGCAATACAAGTTCAGCTATTACACTTGCCTTTGCAGTGTATGGGTAGGATTCCTCTGAATCAATTCCCCCATTATCCTGCACATACTGGAAAGCCTGGTCCATGAGACCACCATTGCAGCCTTGATTCCCTTCAGGGCGAGAGCAGTCCACCAGATTCTGTTCACTCAGTGAAACAAGTTTGCCAGTTTTTCTGAAGTGCTGCCCTTCAAGAGCTCCCGTTGTGCTGAAAGCCCAGCAAGAGCCACACTGACCCTGAAGCAAGAAATGAAATCACAAGTTACAAATCCAGACAGATTAGGCAATTATACTTCCCTTAACATTGATCTAAACATGAAAGCCACAAGACCAACTTGAGCTTCACAGTCCCAGCATGTACAAGTGAAGATACTACAGTCTTTGCAGTTCTTAAAACATTTAGTATAGAACTCCTAAAAATCCTCAAGGGATACAGCAATTTTATCAAAACAGCACTTGATTTAGTAAGCTTGCATTAGGCTTCAGTGTTTTACCTCTATGGAAGCAGAGGTAGCATTCAGGAAATTGGACCTATAATTGTTTAAAAACCCACCGTCAGAGCATACCTGGTCTTTAACTGGAGTTACGTATCCCTTCTGTCTCCAATCTACTGATCGTGGCACTTCCAGGAAGCTGGGCTCAAGAAACTGGGATCCTCTGTACTTCCTTCCTGACTTCTTGTGTGCATAGCCATTCATCAGTTGTCTGAACTCCTCAAAAGTCTGAAGAAGATTCAAGACATGCAGTCACCACCTATTACACACCGCTGTTTAGAACTGTATGTTTCATGCCTCTATACATACCATGTCACCAAACTGATTCATTCCCAACTTGTAGCTGTGTTTTCCTAATGTGTGATCCAGATTATGGAGTTCAATCATTTTCAGATTCTTCTCCCACACCACTCTCCTCCAGCTCTCCTCTCTCTGAGGGGCCAGAAAACAACACACTTCATAGAGGCAGTTCAAACCACGTTCACTTGCACAGATGATGTGCTTTTTGTTACAGCTTGTATACTCGGGAAAACGTAAACTACTCGAATGGGAAGTTTGATCGCTGTTTAAGGGGTGGTCTTTCTGCCACCCTCGTATCAGAAACGAGGGGTACAGTGCAGCTGAGTCGATGCACAAACACAGGAAAGGCAGCTAGGAAGAGGGGGATTATCCTTGCCAAGCGCAGACTGTAGCCAGCGTTAGGACAAAGCAGACATGACTCAGTCGGCCGGGCCCGGCCCAGCGCACTCGCTGTTCGCGAGCCGAGCACGGAT